GCTCACACACAACATGTCTGCACTCATTCCAGCGTGCACAGCTGCTGTGACACATGGACACACACACACCTGCGTGGAGGGACCTGACACACCCACTGCCACACGCACACCCGAGACACGGGCACGCACGGCTGGGGGTGCAGACACGCAGGCACACCCGCACAGACCCACGGACACAGGGACACACGGACACAGAGACACACGGACACAGACTGTGTGTGCTGTGTATGACTGGGCGCAGAGTGATGTCCCTCCTGTGGCCACGGGTCACTCTCAGCGCACCTGGGGGTGCAGCCCGAACCCTCAGTGCTGGTGGGCGCAGCCGGGGGTGCCCCGGGCAGCCTCTCCACCTGCCCCGCGTGTGCCCGGGGTGCAGAGCTCGGTAACACCCCCAGGCCGTCAGTCGGGGCTGTCGGGGCACGGGCGGGCCAGCACAGACCCAGCCCGTCCTCAGCACACCCGCACACGCGGAAGGTCCGCGCGGGCCCGTGCGCGGTGCGAACGCGCGCCCGAATTGCGTGACGGGCCCCAGCAGGGAGCATCACCGCCCCAGCCAGGGAAATCGGGCACACACAGCGGGGCAGGGGGCTGCAGGGACGGAGCTGACGCCTTCCCAGCTCAGCTTCCCGCGGCGGAGGTGCGGGACAGCTGGGGACATCCCTGGGCTGGGGCCCGGCCGGGCAGGCGGGCTGTCCCGGGCCGCGCTGGCCCCGGCAGCAGGGGAGGCTCGGCGGTCCCGCACGGAGCCGGCCCCCCTCCAGCGCTGCCGGCCATGGATGCCGCGGCCGTGCCGCCTCACGCCCTGTCCCCGGCAGAGCCGCGGAGCGCCGCACGGAGCGGGCACGGCCCTGCGGGAGCAGCGCAGGGGCCGGGGCTGGGCTCGGGGTGCCGGGCTCGGGGTGCCCGCTCTGTGCCGGGGCTGTCCCGGCCGCTGTGCCCGCTCCGTCCCGCTCGGTCCCCGCTCGCTGGCGCCGTGCCCGAGCGGGGGCTGCGAGGCACAGCAGGGGCTGGCAGCCCGCAGAATGGCTCCTGCCGTGCGCCACGGCACAGCCCGAGCCCCGCACGGCCCCGCCGCTGCCCCCGAGCCTGCTCCTGCCCCAGGGCCTCACCCCCTGTGCCGGCACCAGGCACCTCTGCCCCGGGCAGCCCCTCCTCTGCATCCCCAGGGCATTCCCAACCTCTTCTCCAGCAATTTCTCCCTACTCCCACGTAGGCTCTCCAGCCCCTGCCTCAGCTCCCTCTGCACCCTCAATTTACTCCCTCCCAAAGCCAAGCAGGATCGCCCCTCTTCCCCCCAGACCCCAGGGCCCTTTCCCAGTCAGGATCCATCCTCCTCTCCACCCTGGCAATCTGTCCCTCCCGCCCTGGTGCTGGGCAGATGCTTGGAGAAGGAAGAGTTATTTCCTCCAGACATCAAAGTCCTTGCACTGATTCGCCCTAGCTGGAGACCTGTCACCAGCTGGGGACACTCCTTGTGCTGCAAAAGGGCATTGGTGTAATAAAGGATCCCCAGGGAGTACCCAGCTCCTTCTTCTCCCTTTGACACAAAGTAGGATCCTGCTGGAGACCAAAATCCCAGCTCTGCCGTAACAGCAGAATTTTGCTGGGATCCTCCTTCCCCATTTTGGTGTAGCCCAGATCTTGGCCGAGGGCAGATCCCGGCTGCTGCCCCCGCCCTCCGCGCTCTGCCACTGCCGTGTGCCCAAGGCCAGATGGCTGATTCCGCTCCCTGGCTCCGCGCTCCCGCTCCCGCCACACTCCCGGCTGACCACTTTGTTCCTAATAGTCCTCAGAGGGGAATTACAACCGAATATTAAATGTGTGGTTAAAGAAATCGCATTACACAGTGCGACTGGAAGGGAGATGCTTCCCTTTAATCTGTAATCCACGGAAGTTATTAGTTTAGCGAGCGGAGCGGCTGGGCACGGCATTCCATTAGGACACAACCCTGAGCAGAGCCATCACATCCAGCCGTGGCACAGCAGCCCTGGCTCCCAGCACAGCCTTCGCTTCCCTATTCCGAGCAATTGCGGTGCCATTATCATGTTAACATGGGGCTCTTTAGCATTGCAGAAAAGAAAAGGGGGAAAAAATCACGCTGGATGGCCGTTGCGCTCCCGTGAAATAATGTTTGTGTCGTGTATCCTGTCCTACAGGTCTATGCAATATTAGTTAGTCACCCTCCTGCTCCCAACGATCACCTAACACCAACACCTGTATCATACACAGCTGGCTTCTACAGGATCCCTGTCATTGGTCTGACAACACGCATGTCTATATATTCTGATAAGGTAACTGCTGCATGTTTCTGCTCTGGTACCTCATACATGTGCTGTAAATCAAGAGTGCCCGTCAGGAGGGTTCATGATGTCTGCACTCTCTCTGTGTCTGTCTCTCTGGCTGTCTCTCCAGCCCAGCCTACATCTCCCTCTCTCTCTCTCTCTCTCCCCTGCATTCCAGGGTGCATCATTTTTTTGCAGCTGCCAGTGCTGACCTACATTGTGCCAGATGATTTCTGCAGCGCTGCCCTGCCAGGCTGCTGGGCTCGCTGCTCTCCAGCCCCGGCAAAGGCACGAGCTGGCTCCTGCCCTGCTCACTGCCCTGCTCACTGCCCTGCTCACTGCCCTGCTCACTGCTGACAGCCAGGGGGTCCTGGGGGCTCTGGGGGCCTGGGAGGGGCAGAGGATCCTGTTGGAGCCTGTACATTGGGCAGGATCTCTCTGGGGCTGGGAGGCTGTTTGGTTGCATTCACTTCTCTGGGTTTGTGGGATATTGCTAGGGGAGATAACAGAATATCCTGAGGCTTCACATGACATTCAGTCTGGCCAGCACTCAAGACAGAGGTTCAGATTTCAGTGTCTCAGCTGTCCCTGTGGGAACTCAGAGATTTCCAGGCTGGATGAGGTCCTGCCATGTGCAGGTGGTGCTTGGGCAATGATGTGCTGCCCTGGCCCTCAGCTCACAGCCCTTTTGGCAAACCTAAAGCTTTAGGAAAGGCAAAAGGAGGAGCTGAGCAGAGCCAGGCCTTCCAAATGCCACTGCAGGATTTCATCCAGGCATACGAGCTCAGTGGGTGAGATCGAGCCTGCTTCGAAGCACGAATCAGCCTTTGCTTGGAAAATGTGAATATTCACAAATGTAAATGTTCAGTGCAAAAATAGTCACTCCACCTACATGGTAAATAAAGTCAAATTTCAGGAGGAGGAGCAGAAGCTCCCAGAGAGGCAGCAGCAGCACTGCTTGGCTGGAGCAGCAGCAGATTTTGGCATCTCCCACCAGGGAAGCCATGGCAGGGTGATCAGCAAGCCAGGCCCACGGCAGTGATGGTGATGGTGGCTGGCAGGGCTGGGGACTGCACACCCTGGCAGGGTCCCACCAGGCATGGTTAGATGGAAAGGGATGGCAGCAGAGCTGGCAGAGCAGGCAGGAATTGTTCAGGGCAGATTTGCTTCTTGCTGCTCTGGGGAGGAGATGGCTCTGACAGGAATGTCACTGGGAGGATCCTTGTCACAGGGCCCAGCATGGCAGGAGGGGGGACCCTGCACCTGCTCTCTGCCCCACCTCTGCAGGGCTGTGCCAGTAAAGCTGCCCTGCCCACCTGTGCTGCCCATCCTGCTGGCCTGGAGTGCTCACCCCCAGGGGCTGACCCTGTCCTCTCCTTCTGCCAGTCCTTTCCTTTTTAAAACGTGATTTCTGCAGAGCAGCCTCATAACCACCCCTGGCTCACTCCAGGGCTGGAGGAGAGACCCATGGCCGCAGAGGTGACTCAGTGTGCCAGCAGGGAGATGCTCTCCATGGAATATTTGGGGTGTTGAGCAGCTTTGGGGCTGTGGGGTAGACTTGCCTGGCAGAGGCTGGGCAGGGAGCCCAGGCTGCCCACCCCAACACCCCAACACCCCAGCACCCCTCCTGCCTGGCTGGCATCGTGCTCAGCCTCCTGCCCACCAAGGCTTGGAGCTCTCTGAAGAACATGGAGCTGCAGGCAGGAGATGGGGCAAAGGCAGGAACTGAGTAGAGGAACAAAGGATGCTTAGACAGTGGAGGGGACAGCAAAGGTGAGTGTGGAGTGGGGGTCAGAGGGGTGTGGAGCTGTGGTATAGGACAGTGGAAGGTTCTGCACACCTTATGCAGGACAGGCTGGCTCGTGACAGGGATTTTCTGCTCTTCCCTTTTTGGCTTCCAGAGATCAGCTTGCTTTCTTTTTTGTTTTAATTCAGGAAATTATATCTTTCAGCTTAGTTTCTATGGAAACAAGCTTGTAGGATCACTTTTTATGTACGCCCCTATTTGGTTTTGGAGGCATCAGACAATTTTAGCTGAATTTCACATGGAGCTGAAGCTGGGTTGATTTTGGTCCTCTCAAGGCTACCAGGGGAGGAAAGGTGTGGGTCCCAGCAGGGACAGGTTTTGATGCTCTCAGAGCATGTCCAGTCAGGCACAGTGGTCTGTGAGCTGCACCAGTCTTTCAGCAAAGATACCCGAGGGAAGTGAGTTTTACTGTTCCAGTATCCAACCATTTGTTCTAGAAATAATTTTGCAGTTATCAGGCAGAGCACTCTGGCTTGGCCTCCTTGTACATCCCATGGGCTGTTCCTTCCCTGAGACCCTCACAGCACCCAGCACAGCACTGCCTGCCAGGAGGGGTCTCTGGGATCCCATCACCTCTGAGGGAGGTCAGCAGGGACTGGAGGAGAGAAGGAGTCTCAAGGTAAAGGCAGCAGAGTGGTTCCCATCACCGTGGTGTCCACGGCTATGGAGAGCTCTCTGGGGAGATCTCATGGGCTGAGCATTGCAAAAATCCCCCTCTGACTTTCCCTCAGTGCTCCTGTTCCCCACAGGCCGCTGGGGGTGTTTATATCTGCTCTGCATCTCAGCTGCAGCAAACGAGATGGCAGTGACATGCTGGCACCATGAAAAATGTGAGCTGCCCCTGAGTGTGGGAGCAGAGCCCGGGGATGCACGGCCCAGGAAGGTCTGAGCTCCTCACCCATGGGACCTACCCGAGGGCCGGAGGGACACCCTGGGTGCTGAGCCCCTCACCGCCCCACAGCAGATCATTGCAGCAGAGGAACAGGGAGATAAATTGATAAATTAAGAGAGCAGCTCTGCTGCTGGAAGAGCTGGAAAATGGAGTTTAGACATGCTGCAATTGGAGAGCTTTCTCAGTCCCAGCACCCTGCCCAGGTCGTTAAGTGAGGTCTGTCTGTCTCTCCAGCCAGGGCATGGATTTCCCTCTGGTTTCTGCTCGCAGAGGAACCATTCCAGGCCCTCACAGGCCTTGTTCACTGAAAAGGGTTTGCTGCTGTGTTCCTGGCCTCACTGGCAGTCGATGCTCAGCAGGAGCCCTGTCAGCCAGGGTGGGAAGGTGCAGGTGGGGACAAAAGTGGCTCTTGTTGACCAAGGTCAGGGTCAGCGCTCCTTCACTGGCACCCACAAGTGATGACTGGACAGACTGCTTGGTGCAGCACAGAGATGTTTGTCCTGGCAGTGGGGGCACAGCCCTCAGCAGAGCAGGAACCACTCAGGAGGGCAGGAGAGCTCTCAGGAGGGCAGGAGAACCCTCAGCAGGGCAGGACAGCCCTCAGCAGGGCAGAAAACTACTCAGGAGGGTAGAAAATCACTCAGGAGGGCAGGAGAACCCTCAGGAGGGCAGCCTGGAGTGTGCAAGAGCAGGCCAGGGTAGTGGGAGATGGCCTGATGGAGCCTGCAGCTGGCAGCAGATCCCCACAGGCTCTCAGGTCCCAGCTGGGAGCAGCACAGAGCAGCCCCACTGCCCCACCATGGCCCTGCCCGTCCCTTCTCTGTGCACTGCAGGGAAAGGCAGAGAGTGCCCTTTGGTCTGAGCTCCCCACCCCTCTGCCCCCAGAACCCCTCCCTGCACTGTCTGAGCTGTGCCAGAGCTATCCCAGCTCCCTCCCACCTCCACAGCTGCCATGTGGGGCAGGCCCCTTCCATGGAAACACTGGCCAACACTTCTTTCTCATGCCCAGCTGGTGAATTTTACCAAATTTTCAGGAGCTTTACAGACTGGGATCTCTGACAATCTGTGAAATTGCCCAGGCAGCTCAGCTGGGGAGTGCATTGCTAGAAGAGGGGCTGCCATAGGTACTGATGCAAAGGCACATTGCTCCCTTCAGCCTGTAGGAAAAATCCCTCCCCCAGCCCTGGGCTCTGAGCTGGGTGAGCCCCTGGGCAGACAGAAGAGCAGGACTGGACAAACCCTCCCCTCACAGCGCTGAGCAAGGCCCTGCTGGGACACAGGCACTGCCATGCCCTTTCCTCTGCGGATAAAACCCCCGTGCCAGGGCAGCTCAGGGCTGCTGCACAGGACTGCAGCTCCAGGCAGGTTCCCTGCAGGGGTGGATGCACTGCCGTGCTCTGCAGGTTCAGGCTCACAGCTGTGCATGCACAGCCTGTGCTTTTACACACAAACACACACACACACACACACACACACACACACACACACACACACAGGATCATCTCCTCAAACAGCTCCTCTCTGTATGGGTTTGCATCAGATATTTGCAGTTGTCAAGTCCTGACCCCACACAGAATCATCACAGAATCCCAGACTGGTCTGGGTTGGCAGTGACCTTAAATCCCATCCAGTGCCACCCCTGCCATGGCAGGGACACCTCCCACTGTCCCAGGCTGCTCCCAGCCCTGTCCAGCCTGGCCTTGGGCACTGCCAGGGATCCAGGGGCAGCCACAGCTGCTCTGGGCACCTGTGCCAGGGCTGCCCACCTTGCAGGAAATGTCCCCAGCCTCCCAACCCTGCTCACTCTGGTGCTTTTTGCCTCCAGCCCCCTGGGTTCCTGCTGAGCTTGGGCACTGATTTGACTCCAGCCTGCATTTGCTGCCCTTTTGCAGAGGTAGAATGAAGTGGGGGAGCACAGGGCTGAGCTCTGGGAGGTCTGGGGGTGGTGTGAGCCATTGCCATGGTCCCACTCCAGCTCTGGTGGGCACCAGGCACACTCAGAGCACAGCAAGGGGTGAGGAACCTACAAAGCCCCTTCCAAGGCCAGTGTGGATTTGCAGTGAGGAGCAGTTTTTGCTGTGTGCTGATCCGAGGGGAGGGAGTGATGACAGCCCCGAGTTCAGGTGCCTGGAGCACACCCCAGGTGCAGCTGAGTGAGCCCACGCTCTGTGCTGGCTGTCCCACAGAGGCTGTGCCAAAAACCACGGGTCATTTTTAACAGTTATTTGCCAAAAAAATGGGCTGATGAGGGTGCACAAATCCCTGCACCCTCATGCCCTGCAGTGCAGCCCACGTGCCTGTGCCCAGCAGAGCTCCGTGCTGAGTTTCAGAGGCTGTGGCAGGGACCTGTGGGATGTCACTGCGTGTGCTGGGATGGGGGAATCAGATCACACCAAGCTGGATTCTCACCTGCCTCTGCACAGCACAGGCTGGCCCCCTGAACCTCTGGGGGACTCTGCGTTCATTTTTCTGCCAATCTTTGGTCCTTGCGAAGATGCTCAGGAGTCGCAGGTGCTTCAAAAGCTGTGCTCATCCTGAGATCTCAGCTCAGCACTTGACATGAATTTTTCTTCCTTATCCCATTTGAAAACCACAGTTCAGGGATCCAGGAGCTGAGATACCACCAGAGTCTGTCTCTGACCCTTTTGACACCACCTCAGAAAGCAAATTTCCCTGGACCGTTAAACCAAGTTGCCCCCCCAACAATTTTGCAGTAATTTTTTCCTCTGAACCCAGTGATATGTATTTACAATACTTAAGAAAGCCATGATTGGTTAAACACCATTTTTGCAACCTGGTTGGGAAGCTAGAAAGCAATTTGATGCAATATATGGAAATTTCAAAGATTTTTCCATTTCAAAAAGGGATTGAAATAATTTTTATAGATGTTTTAACCTGTGTTTTTCTGATTTCCTTTTTTAATATTGTTTTTTCTGTAATTTTTTCAGCTCTTTTCTCTCTTCTGATTTTTTCCGATTTCCAGTTACACTTTCCCTGGATTTCCTTAAAGCAATTAAAAATGCTCAGGGGTTGAAAATAAAAAATGCTTAGACCCAGATGGTGTGCCCCTGGCCCAGGCTGTGCAGCTGGACCTGGAAATTCCTGGGCATCTCTGCTGACCTCAAAGAGATCTTGAACATTTGTGTTGGTGTGGACACCTTGGTTGTCTTTCCATTGTTTGTCCCTATGGGGCTTTTTCCCAGTCCCGTGGGTTAGTGCTGGTTTTGTGGGGTGAGCTGCTCTTCCTGTAACTGCAATGTCTGTATCAGACATACTCTGAAAGTCTTGCTGGGGCTCTCCTGGTTTGTTTCCTGCTCTGGTTAAACATCCACCCTTCTCCTCAGTGCCTCACGTTCAGGAAATGTCCCCAGGGCTGTGGTGGCTTTGCTGCTCCCCTGTTCCCGGGTGTTGGGCTGGGGCAGAGCAGGGACCTGCTGACCCTGTGCAGGGAGCCTTGAGCACAGCAGGGAGTTTGCAGCCTTTTTTACACATTTCATGGTCTGGTTTGACATTATCACTGAGTGGAGTGTGAGAAAGAGGATTTATCTGGTGTGTCTGTTCCTCCTGTGTGTGTGTCCATGGGGAACATGATTCCTTTTCCTTCCCAGTGTGTGTTGCTTTGTCCCATTCAGGACATTTCTGACCCATTCTGGGACTGGTCTCTGGATGAGAAGTCTGGACAAGCATCTCTGTTTGGTCCAGACAACCATCTCAGCCTTAGAGATAGAAATATTATGGTGCTGTATTTTTGTCCTCTGTAGTTCTGGCTCCTGCCTCCCTCCAGCACGTAGCTGAGCTGTCAAGTAGGGTCCATGCTGAGCATGAACACTTTCACTTCCTAATATTTGACTCTAGGGCTTTTTGGACAAGCTGCATTTGTTTGAAAGCTCTCTGTCAGCTCCAGCTTTTGTCCTGATTGCTCCCCTAAGAGCACTGTACTTAATTAGGCTGGAATTGCTATTGCACAATCACCCAACCATAACGATGTCTTTAACCGAACCAGAGAGGTTTGCTGGGGCACGGGTCCAGAGCTGCCTCCCCTGCCTGCTGCTGCAGAACAGGCTGACCTAGAAACAGCCAGGGACCATGTTACAAAACTGCCTTTCTGAACTTCTGCCATGGCAAATGATGAACACACAGCTGCCTGTACCTGCCTCTTGCCTTCTGAAGGGAATTCTTTTGCTTTTTGATGTCCATTGTCTGGTAATTATTTAAAAGGTCAAGAGGCAAGGCTATATTTGCACTGAGCACTGCTGGTCATTCCTAGCTAGAGAGGCTTTTCTTCTCTGTGCCTTTATGGGCCACAAAGCAGAAACCCCTCTTTGCCATGCTCTGGTTTAGCCACAGAGAGGTGCAAAGTCACATCCAGGGTTTGCTTCCCAGCCAGAAGGAAGGATGCAGGTCCCAGAGGTCAGCTCAAGGCGTGCATCCCAAAATGGCTTTGTGATCCCAACCCTGTCCCTGCAAATGTGGCCGACAGGCCCACAGTCTGTGTTGAGCTCTTGTTCTTCCTTGCAGAGCATCCATCTGTCCTTTTTGCGCACGGTCCCACCCTACTCTCACCAGGCCAACGTCTGGTTTGAGATGATGAGAGTCTTCAACTGGAACCACGTCATTCTGATAGTCAGCGACGACCACGAGGGTCGTGCTGCACAAAAGAAGCTGGAGACCCTCCTGGAGGAGAAAGAGTCCAAGGTCAGTTCCTGAACATTGTCTTGTAGCTTTGTTTAAGCAACAACAACGAAACTAGAAGTCTTGGGCTGTTGTATGTATGTAGATTTCTGTATGTAAAACACCTTTTCTTTCCATTGTAACATGGCTAACATGCTTAAAGCATCAACAGTGTCTGACTAGTACCTGACAGAACTTTGTACTTTATTCATTTCACTTGCTTTGCCATGGTCAAAATCTCCTACATGTAAATCGACTACAAAATGAAGGGAAGGATAACCTGGAGCTCTGCAAATGCCTTGCCCGAGTTTCCCACCCAAGGAGAGGACCAGTCGCTCAGTTTAGGGAAGCACCTGCCCCCCTGCAGCCACCCCGGGGCCAGGCAGAGCCAGCAGTGCCAACCCCCCCAAAAAGCATCTTCTGAGTTGGCCACGGGGCTCACTCAGTGCTCAGGAGGGAGCGGGGCTGTGGTGAGCTCTCGGTAGCGCTGTGGCCCGTTCCCATCTCCATGAAGCACATGCCAAACGCTGCTTTCCTGACACCCCATGCATGGCAGGGCTGGGAGCAGGGAGGGAGGCAGGGCAGTGCCCGAGGAGGGGGCACAAAGCACAGAGCTGCGGCGTGGAGGGAAAGGTCTGCACAAGTGTTCCAGAAAAGCAGAGAAGGAGAGCACAGGGAGCTGCGTGGCTGCCATCTGGAAGGCAAGGAAACACCTCCTGTCCCACGGGGTGGAGTCCCAGCGTGTCCTCTCTCCTGCGGTAGGGTGAGGTGCCCTTGGGATGGGCTGAGCCTGAGCTCATCCAAGTCTCCTGCAGCATCAGGGCAGGCACCCACTCGGGGATGTTCCCTCCTGGGTCACAGGCAGGGACCCCAACCTGCTCTTTCCAGCCCCACCTGCAGCTGCTAGACCTTTGGCAGTCTCTCAGCTGTCGAGATGTGGCCATGGACGCTTCTTGTGGTTGGAGTTGGTGGCTCAGCTGAGAGATGGGACCCTGTGACTGCTCTTCATGCCCTCCCTGAGGAACAACTGCTGCAGGGGTGCAGGCTGGCACAAGCCACACTGACCAACAGACTCCTGATTTTGGCGGTGATTTTCAAGAATTTTCATCCTTGCTGCAACCCAGGCTACCTCAAGGCACTGATGTTCCACCAGCCACAGAGGGATCCTCCTGCCTCCAAGGGCAGCTTCCCACTGGGTGACAGCAGGACAGTGCTTTTCTCCAAAGCTTCTTCCCAGCACAATGCCCTTCGTACAGGGATAACCATTGTCAGTCTCTTTTCCCTTCTCTTGCATCCTTTGAATTCCACTTTCTGTTTTCCTGTGCGTCCATTTTGCTGTTCCCTCTCATGCCTCCACTCCCATTTGCCCCATGTGGTGCTCCCAGGCACAGGTGCTTTTCTTCTTCAGCCTGTCCACCGTGCAGGAAAGCCTTTGAGAGCTTGAAAGATGGGGAGGAAGGGTCTGTCCTCAGACCTTCCCCATTTTGCACTGCATCTACCACGCGTCTTGGTGTCCCCTGGCAGACCCTGGGCTGCTGCAGATGCTCGGGCCACTCTCCAGCCTGGGGCACCTGCTCTGTCCCAGTAAGTCACCTTATCTTCTCTTTGGGGTGTGCCACTGCATCTTGTTTCTTTTTTCTTTGAGAAAAGGTCAGGCAGACTGGTCTGACTGGTCTTGCAGGTGGCAGACACCCCTTTGGGGCCTTCCTGTCTTCCTCTGCCTCTTCTCTCCAGTCTCTCTTCTGATCACTGATGTGCTGACTTTTTCATGCCATGGAGTTGTACCATGGGCCCCTCCCCAAGGGCAGCCTGGGCCCTGGGGAGGGAGCAGGCAGGAGACCTGATCTTGACCTCTTCAAGGCTTAGATCACAGCCCCTGAAGACATGAAGGACCTGCTCAGGGTCAGAGACTCACCTGCCCATCTGGGCTCTTGGTTTGGGGCATGGCTTTGCCAACAGGATCTGTGCCAGCCCCATGTGCCATCCGGGCACCAGTGTGGGTCTGCAGCTCCAGCAGCACCCTGAGCCCAGCACCCAGGCCGTGCTGGCCAGCCCTGGAGTGCCCCACGTGCTGGCCTTGTCTTGGAGCTGTCTGTAGCAACCCTCAGCCTGGAGCTGCTGCTCCACCCAGCACAGCTCTGCTCCTTCACGGGGCTGCTGGGGCTCCAAGGGAGCGCTGGACACTGAGAGCAGAGCTGGGGGTCAGAGGTGGCAGGTCCCTGCTGTGCTGCCTGCCTTTCTCTGGGACACTGGCATTCATGGAAGTGACAATTTTTCCAGTGATTGCAGGATCACATGGTGGGAAGGGAACTTCTGATTCAGCAGTCCCTGTGTGAAACATGAAGAGAGGGTCTGCAGGACCACATGAAGAAATAGGAAAAGGAGGAAAAGTGTAGCTCTGGAAACAGGGTTAGTGACAGGGAGAGGTGACCAGGGGCCAGTCTTGTACTGAAGGCTCTGCTGACCAGCCTGGGCTGAGGTGCCAGCACATCCCAGGAATTTCTAGCTGGTGGCTGCAGCATGGATGACCAAGTTTTTGGCTACATTGACAGTGCCTGGGGAGAAGTGACCAGCGTTGCCTGATTGGAGAACATTCCTGCTGTCCTGCTGCATCTCTGGTCTTGTAGCAGTTACTACTCCAGGGCTCACTGCAGGCCAGCAGAAGCCACTAAGAAGCCATTGCAGAAATCCTCGCTGTGGGAGTCATCAGAAATGAAGGCAGACCTGGGCTCCAAACAAATTTTGCCTCTTCACATACTTTTCCTTGCCAGGACCTAATTTCTTTAAGCAATGAAGAACCTGTCAGGCTGCATCCAAGGGGAAGAAAGGAAAGGCCACACAGCTGCATGGAAAGGAGACCTGGCAAGATGTCCTGCCAAAGACTGGCCTGAATGCTCAGGAAAAGGCAAGCTAATTAGTTTGGAAAACAAGATGAAGAGCAATGTGTCTGTCTGAGGAACAGCCTGGGAGCACAGACCGCTGTGCACTGGGGTGCAAAGGGACCCTGGCAGGGATCCATTGCCATCAGGTGCTGGAAAAACGGAGACGAGAGTAGATCTGTGTCCCACACCCCATGTACACAGATCAGGGATGCTCAGCTGGGGCAGAGTCAAGGAGAAGATGTCACCCTGTGTCCCAGCAAAACCTGCCAAGCCCTCTCCTGAAGGCACCGGCAGGGTGCTGTTACTGGCCTGGCTGCTCCCGGAAGGTCTCGGGGCTCTGTGCAGGCTGCTGCGGGGTCAGGGCTCTGCACAGAGGCTGTGGGATGCTGCCTGCTCGAGAGGAACCTCCAGCACTGGGTGCCCTGCCCCGGGCTCCTCTGGGGCCGGGCAGCACCAGCAGCTGGGGCAGCAGAGCCAGGGAGGAGCAGGAATCTGTCCCACCCGATCTCTCCGGGGTCAGTCCCAAGCTGACATGCTCCAGTCAGCAGCACGGAGACCACCAAGCAGTGAGCCCCACTAGCCACGCTTAGGGCCAGCTTAGGGCACCCTGGTCTCAGGTAGCTGCACCTCCCAGGGCCACGCATGTGCAGAGCCATGAGGTGCCCTGGGCCCTCCCAGGGACCAGGTAAAAGCTGCAATGCCATCCCATGTTCACCATTGCTTCATATCGCCACGCTTTGAGCCGACACGGGACCTAGAGAACTTTATCTTTCTCTTTTGGATGTCAACAGAGCTCAGAAAGCTGCTCCCTCCTTTCAGGGGGTGAGGTTCAGCTGAGACACCTCACTTGGTGTGGACTCTCTGAGGGTGGACAGGACTGTAATGCTGATAGTGATGCTAGGAATGCTAATACTCTTCACTGTAACAGTTTGCCTTTATCCAGCACTTTCCATACACAACATTTTGTCCTTTACTTCCACAGTAATTCCATGGAACCCCCACCACTTAGGCCCTTAGATTGTTTCTGAGCTTAAGACAGAAATTCCTTGCTGAAGAATCCCCCAGTCCCTCAGGGGAAAAGGCACGTGCATCGCACCAGCTGTGGCACTCAGGCTTTGCTCTCAGATTGCTCCGTGACGCTCCCGTGAGAGCTGAGGCACAATCTCTCCTGATAGTGGTTTTTGCGAGCTCCAGCGTTATAGAGACCCTTTAGCAAACAGTGGAGGAGGAGGTGGATGTTGGATTGCTTTACTACACGTCATTTTCAACTGTTTATAATATTCTTCTGTGTCTACATATTTTCTCTGTGCACATTATTCATCAGAGTAAAAAAAGGAACTATGAAAACCTCGACCAACTTTCCTATGACAACAAGCGAGGACCCAAGGTATATATGCATGGAAATGCACGCCGCCCACCAACCTAACTAGCAAATGAGAAATAGCCACAGCCAACAGAAAAATAAAAAAAAAAAAAAAAAAAAAAAAAAGAAAAAAAAAAAAAAAAAAAAAAAAAAAAGAAAAAAAGAGAAAGAGAAAAAAAGAAAAGAAAAGAAAGAAAAAAATTCCATGACTGTTTCTTGGTAGCACGTTTTTATGTTGAGATAGTTTGGTTTGGACTTGAGAATGGAAACTTAGCCAGCTGACCCTGGAAGGATTTCTTTTTCAAACATGCATGTGAACCAGTAATTAACTTGCAAGTTCTTTTTTTTTTTTTTTTTGAAAAGTTGAACCAACCCCCTTTCCTCCCCAAAGGAAACAGTTCCTTGGTGTAAGTTGCTCACTTTGATTCCCAAAGGTTAACCCTGTGCAATATGTTTTTTTTCATTTCCCATGTTTTTGAAAAACAACACTCGTTTGAGTTTTCAATTGCATTTCAAAGCCTTTTTCTCTTTCCTGTACAATGCACGCCTCTTTTTGGGTCTTGATTGACTTCAGTTTGCATGCACAGTGCAAAAAAAAAAAAAAATTAAAACAACCAAAAAGCCAAAACCTTAAAAGAGAAAGGAAGGAAGGAAGGAAGGAAAGAAAGAAAGAAAAGAAAGAAAGGAAAGAAAAAGAAAAAAAATAACTTTAACAAATCTTATTTAGCAGACTTTTGTGCAGTTTAATGAATTCTCTTGACCCTTTTCTAGATAGCATGGCTCTCACCACCAGTCCTGGGGCTCACTCACTAACCAGCTTTGCTCACACTCATCACAGGCTGAGAAAGTGCTTCAGTTTGACCCTGGGACCAAAAATGTGACAGCGCTGCTGCTGGAGGCCAAGGAGCTGGAGGCCAGGGTCATCATCCTCTCTGCCAGGTGAGGCCGTGCCGCCCCTTCCCCTCCCTGCTCTGATTTCCTCTCTCCCAATGCTGCCCAGCGCTGGAGCCGGTGTGGATTTGGGGTTTGACAGCCCGAGGGAACCCGCACAGACAGC